GCTGAGCCTTTAAACTCAATATTAATAATATCAAGAGAATCTTGATCGATCTTGAGCAACATGCTCACGTTGTCATTCACACGAGCGAGAATCTTGTTCAGCGAAGAGATATTCACACCGACCGAAACCGCTCTATCACAAACGAATTTATCAAAATCTTTAGAATCGATAAACATGGATATCAATGCGATGCGTGAGCCATCCATGGCCTTGAACGAGATGCCAGATTCGAGGCATTCAAGGTTGACCTCGGTGACAAGATCCCTGGTTGACTCAATGATTTTTTTAAACAGAAATGATTTTTGCAAACAAGCTTCGAACATGGTTTAAAATAAATACGTTTTATTCGATCATTTATCAAAACTTATATTTATACAGAAATAATATTGAATGTAAACAAATCAAATAGAATATCACTAAAATAAATATCACATGAAAAAGATCATTAGGTTTCTATCTCATTTACGACATCATTCATGATGAATTTCCATCTTTTCATATCTTCGTTGGCGGTATCTTCTTCTTCTTCTTCATTCCAGAGATTTTGAAGAACAAGTTTTCTCTCTTCTTGTAATTTAATAATTAGAAGAACACGTTTTTTCTCTCCTACTAAACTAGTATTTTCAGGTTCCTGTCTATCATAATAATTTTCAACCCAGTCTTCAAATTTTTCCTTTGCAAATTCTTTACTATTTTCTGTTTCAGGACAGGCTTCTTTGAGTATTCTTATTAATTTTGTTTTCTTATGCTTATCATTCATACCACCATCTTCGAGGATTTCAATCATTTTTTCTTGAACAAGATTCATTTTTATTATTTTTTATGCAAATAAAATTAACAACCAGTTTATTTTATAATTGTAAAACAATTGGTTTGATCATTAGAACAGACAATAGAAATGCTAATAGATTACAGAAAATAAATTGGCTAATCATTGTTTGGTATCGGCTCCCATGCACCGCGAACCAGGGTTGTGAGTTGGGCACAGGTGGTTCTAACTAACTACTCCGGCCCGGCAGTGCATGGGAGCCGATAGTTATTTAAGACCGTTCATTTATTTCTCATTGGGCAGTTCTTACCGATATGTCCATATCGATTGCAGTCGTAACATTTCGTTTGTGGGCAGTCTCTCACAAAGTGGCCAGGTTGGTAGCATCGGTAGCAGCACAATTTTGCCCGTGAGCATCTTTGTGGATCGTGAATCTTGTCGCATATATTACATCGATGCCTGTTTAGATCAAATGTCTCTGGTCTGGTCTCGATCGCATCGTATTTCTGAGGATGATATCGAACTTTCAGAAATGTAATCTTGAGATCTTGGGTGATCGTTCCTTCGCAAACTCTCATGTGTTCTCGCATGGATTTTTCATCATTCATGTTTGTACAGAAAGTGTATTTTGTCCAAGTTAACACGTTACCCTGAGGGGTGTACATGGATGGATAAGCGAGGGCACAACGGTATACACAACAGCAATTGGTTGATTCTCGTTTGCATGAGGCACAGCATTCATGAGGATAATCACGATCACACAAAGGGCATGTACCGTGATTCCATCGAAATCTTGTGAACCCATAGTTGTACACAAAGTCATTGCTTTTTTTGAAGAAGTAGATTGGTTCGATCGTGTCATGCGTATTGAGATAATCTCTGATATACATGTAACCATC